TAGAAAATTATTTCATCTTTTAATCGACACTTCTTCTTTTTTTTTCTTCTTTCTTTAATTATTCTCTTTTTCAACAGAACGCGTCTAATAACAACGAATAGCACGTGGAACCTCGCGGAACGGAAATTGTAAATCGAATTCAATTATAGTTGCGATAATAGTAGCCTTTAATTGCATATTATATTCAGCAACGATAATAAAGGCAAGAGCTAACGATAATGGATTTAATGATATAATAGTGACGATCTTTTCTACTCGCGTGCAATGGATAAAGTGTGTGTTGGTTTGTGTGTGTATATATATATACGCAACTAATTCTACCGCACGAAATGGACAATTATTATACAAAAACACCTTTTTTAGGAACTTGAAAATTCTATGACGTCGCGTCTCGTCGTGACAGAACGCGATTTAAATTCGAAGGGAATTTCAGATCAAGCGAAATCCTAAGAAGAGGAATTACAAACTGTATAATTAATAGTCGCCTTTGCTTTGTACACTTTTAACAGATATTAGGCGTTACTTTGACGATTATCGTTTGGATAGATTCTATCAAAGTCACTGCCCCAGATCACAAAGTTAATTTTCATTTTATAGAGAATACACCTTTTTGTTTTGTTTTCTTTTTCTTTTTTTTTTTTTTATACGCCGTATATCGCGATACTTAACGATTTAAGAATAGATACTGTACACAGAATGCTGTTCGATAAGTTAGAACCAAGATATACTTATTTAGATTTGATATGTAAATATCAATCGTTGAATTGTTCATCTTAGTATACTGTGAATATTCGTTTGATAATAGTAATATTCTGTACATGAGTATAAATAAGGTAAAAAGTGTTTACTGGATTGGAAGGACAATGTTCGTTCTAGATCATAGTTGATGGATGTCATTTTGGATTGTTTTTATTTGATAGAAAATGAAAAGAGAAAGAAATATTTACATGCAGTTGTTTTGGAGATTTAACGTTTAACTTGAGTTTCCTTCATTTTGTACAATAATATATTTAATGGAGAAAAAATGAGGGAACATTTGAAACAATCATCCATCAACTAAATTCTTGTCTTTCACTTTACTAACTAACGAAATTGAGAGTCTAAATACTATTAGAATACTATCTACTGCTCGAATTCGTAAGATCTATCCGTTTCTATTCTTCATCGTAATCGTCACGCTACACAGTATAATAGCATATAAAATACAGTTGCAGATTTATTTCACGATATCTTCATATATATATATATTACCAAAGAATATTGTATAGAATTTGATAGTTGAAGAAAACGGAGACGGAATACGTTACGAAGGCACAAGAAGGTCCTGCTGTAGAAATACTCAACAATCTTTCAAATAGAAACGTAAAATCTTCACGTTAAGTCCTCTGTGGATTGTTATCGTTCTAATGAAAATTCATCATTCGTCGCAGTCTCGATAGAAATGCAACGTGTACTCGAAATAATCGACACCGTGTTTATTCTTACATATATTCTGAAAAGGGGAAAAAAGAAGAAAAATAGGAAATTGTAATATATCGAGATTTGAATATGATTAATTAGTAGAGTAAGATTAATCACCTCTTGTGGCTGTACAGTAGGTACACGAAACCTCAATGCTCTCCTGAGATAATGAGCAACGTCGAGGGAAAATGACTGGTCTCCTCGTTGATTGTTACTTTCGATATCGATTTTCAACTGAGCCTGTTGTTGCATCGTGTATTTTCGTCCGCACATTAAGGACTCGTCGACGCCAGGACTCGTTGGAGAGGAACACTGTTGCACTACTTGTCCGTACCAAGGCATTCCACTGTGCATGAAAGAAATTTGAGATGTTCAGTCTTTAATTTTTGCTAAACTTCAGTTCTAGTGAACTTTCATACTTTAATTTTTGTTAGAAGTAAATTTTAGTCAACCTTCATGCTTGAATTTTTGCTAAAATTAAATTTTAGTCAATTCTCATATTTTTATTTTTGCCAAAATTTCTAATCAATTTTCGTACTTTAATTTTTGCTAAAATTAATCTAGCAAATTAAAAATGCATACACTTACACAAACTGTAAGGTAAGATGCACGTCTGGCATGTACTTCGAAAGAGGAATGATGCAAGTAATATTATTAGGCGTGTCCTGCGAGGACGCGGAGCAATACTTTTGATCGAGCGAAGTGTTAAAGCTCTCCGCCAAAATCCACAATTGTGGCTTAGGTTCTGGTGGCAAAGATCCTGCTGCGTTGCTGGCGACTTCCGCCCAATCACCACCACCTGTTTCTCTCCGTGTTCTCTTGTGTAGGTACTTGTAATTATTCTGCGAAGATCGTATCTTTTGAAATTTATCCTCGACGTAGGAAATATCTCTCTTCAAAAATTTCGGAATTTTTCGAATAGTGACAATGTTAGAGTTCATAGAAAAAAAGTTAATTTACATTTTCTACTACCTCTTTTACGAGCGTTTGAGTGCTCGGATCGGACGGGCTGATGCCATTCTGGAAACTTTTGCTTATTTTACGCTTCTCCTCGTGCACGTTCAATGGCTGTTCTATGTGATCTGCTGAAAAATTGAATAGCAATTTTGTCGATCATTATAGCGTCTTAATAAATTGACAAGTATAATTCAGAATGTAAAATAAGACTTACAAATTGATTTCTTCTCCGGAGGATGATCAGGTTGAGGTTCTTCGAACTGGTGAATCTTAGCCGTGCAACAGAACACCTGAGACGTAACATTTTCATTTCACATCAATGTTGAAAGGATCACTAAAACGAAATGAAAATTCCTGTGTGAAGAACCTTACCTGACACGGATTTTCAAACTCGCTGAAGTGTCGAGGACAATTCGTCGGTCTTCCCAGCGGAATTGGACCTTTGTTCAGAGACGATTCCGCCTCTGATCCTTGATCATTCTCGTCTACGTTGCTGGGAATGGCTCCTGCACCATTTCTACTTAACCAATTTCCAGGAAATTCGCTGAAATAATTGCAAAAATAAAATCCATTAAAATAATTCAATTTAAGAATAAAGAAGAGGACAGAAAAGTTGGCTATATCAATAAGAATACAACCAGTTTCCAGGGAATTCGCTGAGACAATTGTAAAAAATCCATCAAAGTAGTTCAAATGTAAAAAAGAGAAAATTTTCAATAAGGACAAACCTATTCTTTTCGAGTTTCGGCTGTGCCCCAGAATGACTGATGGGATACCAAGTGATCTCTTGAGAATAGAGCTGTTGTTTCGTGTGAGGAGCTTGCGTGGAGAACGCGTTACTTTTCACAGACAGACCACTGTCTAAACCTCTGCTGTGTGATCCATGTTTAGTGTAAGAAGACGATAGTGTACTGTCCAATAAGGAATTATACCGTGGATCGTAGTTCGGTGTACTCGACACTGTCGAAGGATGAGCAGGTCTTATAGCTAACATTCCATTACTAGCCACAGCAGACCATTCGAGACTGCTTCGTTTTTGATATTCTAAGAAGTATAACGTTGCCATTGCCACTAAGCTGCAATTGAAAAATCTTTGTTGGAGTGTTCAATTGATTTTCGAAGAGCGATTGAAGAATATGTGAGAATACGTAGAATTACCAAAACGCCATGATAAGGATAAGTATGACGATGATAATCTGGATGAACTTGTTGCTGCACAGAAGTTCGTCCTCGCGTTCACTCTTCTTACTTTTCCCTGGTACAGTGGTCTTGCTATTGATAGAGGATGAGTATTTGTTACTTGATATACTAGAGATTGTACTAATCGAACTCTTGAGGCTGTCGCCTCTCTTCAGTTTCGCTAGGCGCTTGTTTATCCGCTCCAGTTGGTCTATGCGAGTCTCTAAACTGTCAGTCACCTAACAAATTTCATAATAAAAATTTTAGAAAAATCAGTAATTGAAGGATTCTAAGTCACAAGGTTTCCGGTATGAAAGAGTATAATTTTCGAAGGGATCTGTCGTATTTAACTATTGTCCAATCAGTGTTCAGATAAATTTTTAGAAGAAAATTAAACACCTCAGTGTCTCAAATTTGGTACCTGCAACGTTGTGACACGAAATCCTTCAGTTATGATAAAATAGACAAAATATCTTACCTTGCACAGCTCCTTCACAGCACCGACATTCTCCATGAAAATCCTCTCCTTGTTCACCACCAAGAAATTCTCGATCCTCTGGCCATTTGGTAGGACTATGTCTCCCGCTGGTAGCACAGCTTCCGGTAGTATCTGCTGCACTTCCTGCGCTATCACACCTGTGTCCTCTTGCTGTTTAATACCCAGACCAGAGTGCTGTGCAAATTCTGGCGCGTATCTATACCGAACAACTCTTAATTGCTGCACGTTTCGTAGTTGTTCACGCGTGTCGACTTCCTGAACGTTCTGCTTCGCTCGTGCGTCACTCGGTTGAACAATGTGGCCGGTTACCTGTGGGAATTGATTAATAGTACACGTGTATCTATTGAATTTTCAGCATTAAAGTATAATCTGTAGCATTGAAGTGTAATTCCACTTAAAAGTGCCCCAATTGCATGAATTCTATTGAATTTTTGAACGTATAATTCTTTTCGTTAATGGTACGCTTGTTTCTTCCATGAAATCGTTATTTCTGTTAAAATGAAAAATACCTTCATATTGCCGTGAACAACCAGAGCTTCGTCAGGCCTGTCTGTGTTGATTCCAACTCGACCAGCATGGTAAACGCTGTCTGGAGCTGCTCCCCTTTGCCACCCACCCTCTGCACCTACTCCACTACCTTCCGACTCGAACTGACCGGGATTACTTGCCTGTAGAATTGTAATTTGTGTAAGAACAATTAGCGTAGATATCGATTGTAAATGCGTTTCCACGAGTGCATTGTAGAATTTTTCGTTTAGTAGTATTCCCTTCAAAAGGAAGATCAAAATGAGAAAGATTGTTAGCTATCCTTCTCTAATTCAATTTGTGTCGAGTCGCCAAGAATATTTTTCTCCGTCCAAGTATTTTTTCTTTTTAATTAATTTAACACTGGTGCAAGTTGCTTTCGTTGGAATTTAATACTTGTACCCCAGATCGTTCACTTTTTCGAAGGATCACAGAACTCATTATGAACGCACTTTTGTTTTTTTTTTTTTTCGGAATGAAATTCTAAACGAACATCGAACGGTACCATGATCACGAAGATAATTACCCTGACGATTATTCTCTCGGATGCATGAGCTACCACCTGATAGCTGGCCTGGTCCGCAGTGTGTGCATGCAAACCGACAACCAAGTGGAAATATCGTTGGTCCGGATTCGGTTTCCCTTTCTTTCGCATATTATTGCTGGTCGTTTCACTGAAGTGAAGACGGCCAACGGTTACCTTCGTAACACGCTCGCCGCCTAATTCCACCCTAAAAGCAGCTCTACTTTAGTGTTACGTAACGATTTGAATGGTCTTCGTAGAAAAAAATGATAGAATTTCGCACCAAAGGTTCCGAAAAGTTTGCTTGATAATTTTTCATGTGTGGTATAAAATGTAAAACAAAAGGAGAATTATGTGTGTACATACATATATATATACATGCGTGTACATACATGTATATATATTGTATATGACTTTGATAACGATGATTTACCGCACCTTTTCTATGTTTATCCGTGTACTTACGTCACTGGATGGAACGGTTTCTTGCTCCTGTCGCTCTGACTCTGTTCGACTCTGATCGTTTGCGTCGGAGACTCAACTTTCACGCCGTAGAAGTGCAGCTGGAAGCTGCTTATCTTCTTCAGACCCTCGCCGGTCCTCACGAATATCGCCTCGCCTTGCAACTGAGCATGGCAGGTAATCTAAAGCACAATGTTTCATCCAGTTACATCCACAGATAGGAAAGAGGCTTGGGACGTAAGGTGAGGATTGAATTAGGTGGCGAACGAAATTTAAGGAAATTTCAGGGTTCCATTTTAGTGGAGATAATCATTCATTTATATCATTCTCTTTGAAGGAATTCAGGTCTCTGTTTAACCCCTTTCTGTGTGATTTATTTTTCTAAGAAATATGGAAAATATTTGAAATTTTTCTTTCACACGTGCTGCCATACCTGAAAATGATTCTTCTTCTGGCACACAAACGCGTCGTCCGAGTTGCTGAAATTGAATCCCTTATCCGCGTCCACACGATAATGGGGCACTGGAAGTTCCTTCAGATTGTGGTCGCAAAGAACATGCCAGGAAGTCTGCTGAAAGGGATGAAACCGGATGCACTGGTAACTCGCGTCGATGTAGCTGTTATCCGCCACCTCGTCTCCATCGAGAACCGCGCTACTGCTGCTGCAACTGTGCTCCACTGTGCCTAGTTCAGGTTCCTAAAGAGCAAGATCAATATTTCAATCTTTTTTATGCCAATCGTCGAATTAGTAATTCCTAAACTTAGGAATTTAATTGATACAATAAATCAAATGGAAATTGAAATCTAATTTAAACTTGGAAATTTAAGAAGATGAAGCACATAACATTTTGTCACAAAATGAATTCAATCTAAACAGCCCTTTACGAAAGAAAATACTTTAAAAAGTGAACATATTTTCTCTGTGCTCCATAAAATAAAGAAAATTAATAATAATTGATACGTTCACTGTCCACCGAACCGCACGCACGACTCAGGACAGTTTAAACTCGACATAAGTGCACGCAAGCTTTTCTGATAGAAAAACAAGCCTATATTGCTATAAAGTGTTATTCAAATGCAGGGAACAGGTATGTCCCCCCAGAAAAGGCGAGATAATTTGTCATTTTATCGAACGATTAAGTTGAATTAAGGTTGCACTTGGCACTCCTGGGACAGTGAACGTGTCGTGGTTCCCTTATGTGTCTACGTATTCTACGATATATAGCCATGGTAAAAAATTTTACTCGTTGCACCTGCTTCACATGGACAAGACCGTCCTGGCTCAGTTTTCTCTTCTTGGGCGCCGATTGGAGCGACGAATACAGCGTGTTAATGTTACCGGGACTATGCTCGTGCGGCAAAGGCACTAATGTCTGAGCTATCGGTTGCTGTTGCGACGGAATATTCGGTGTTCCTGACGCGAGATGGGACGTCAGCACCGAATGCGTCAGTAACATCGGATCGGTGGAGGATGTTAACGTCCTCGGCGAGGACGGTAGTAAATTTGGTGCGTAATTAGCCTGATTACCTTGATGATGAAGAAGCATTTCCTGAAGAGCTACCTTTTGATCTGAAATTTTAGGGGGAAGTATGTAGAGAATTGTGCGAGGTTGTTTAAAGTGTTTTTCGTTGAGGGACATGTTTATGGGACGTGGTGGAATATAATGTATCGAGAATTTAGTACGATGGTTTTGTTTGTGGGATATTTGGTGAACTTACGCGGTGAATGTACGTGCTGAGTGTCGTTGTGACCAGGCGGCGAATATGGCGGTTCGCTGCCACTGTCTGGTGGGCTTTCTGGTAACGCGTGTCTGGAAATGAAATATCGAATGGTGCTCGTATATGAAGTATTATAATATTCACTTATTTTCGAGTATAAATTGTAACCCACAGTGAAATAATAATATTTTAGAAGATTCTGATAATCATAAAATATAAGAACAGTTAAACAATATTAAAAAACATTGAACGATAGTAAAATAATATTTTAGAATAGTCTGATAATAATAAAATATAAGAACAGTTAAACAATATTAAAAAACATTGAACGATAGTAAAATAATATTTCAGAATAGTCTAACGATAATAAAATACAATAATAGTAAACAATATTAAAGAATATTGAACAACGGCAAAATAATGATATTTTTCAGTATTCTGAGAGAAATAGAGTTTTAAAATATCGCAGTATTGAAGAAGAATGAATATCTTCAAATTCAACGTTAACTATAACACGATGTAAGCAAACATTAAAAAAGCTCGATGCATTTATGAAGTATCAATTCACAAATTAATTCCCTTAATAACTAGAACGTTATGTAAATTAATTTGCTTGCACTGTTAACTGCAAGATAATCTGACAAACAAGGGAAAAGAGAAAAAAGAAGTGTTAGGAAAGAGAAGCATTCTGAAATAAAAGGTCTCAGTATCTACTTAGAAGATATTCGAACCATGAAAGTCTCAAATGACTTAATCCCGAGGAGGTTGACATTCTAGCCCTTAGGCGAACTCGACTTACGGGTGAACGTACGATTGCGGATCCTTGTAAGCGGCGCCATTTGGCACGGTCGTGGTGCCGGATGTGCACGTACTCGAGACCGGATGACTTTGGGTAATCGGCGATGGCAATCGAGACGGTGGTTGTTGAGCGGCCGCCGCCTCCACGCGACCACCGTGCGTCGTCGTTCCACCCCCGTTCTCATTGTGAGCAAGGGTGTCCGCGAAATATCTGCCGTGAAATTCGTTAATGTTGAAAACGAATAAGTTTGGAAACTGTGAGAGATCTATCGGGGAACTTTGAGTCTTCGGGGCTTCTGATTTCTGTTTAACGAGAATTTTGCGAAGAAAGTTTGTGGAATTTGTGAATTTCTGTTTTTGGGGTATTTTTTTTTTTTTTATTTCTGTGGGTATTTTTGATGGCTGAAGAATTCGGAATTTTTGGAACCTCGGTTTTTTTCATGTCTGGCAGTTTTGCAGACTTGGGATTCGGTTTCAGAGATATTTTTTGTTTACTGAAATATTTGAGAATTTTGCAAAGAAATTTGGGAATTTATTTTTTGGAATATTTGTCGTTTCTTTGGGGTATTTCTGACGGCTGAAGAATTCGGAATCTTTGGAACCGGTAATTTCGTTGTGCGTAAGAGAATTTTGTAGATTTGAGATTTTATTATTAGAGTACTTGATTTCGACGAAATTTAAACAATTTCTCCCCACGAGATACGTAAGAAACGTGCGAAGAGAACGAGGAATCGTTTAATCGATCGCAGATTGATTCGTTAATCGTTTTTGCGCACGGTTACGAAATTTCTAGACAAGACAGTTGCTCGATACTTTTTCAGCCACTGATGGATAATAATTTCCGCGATCTTATAAAATTCTACGGTCTTGTAATAGCTTCTTTGTTCGAGATAATTGTTCGAAGAAGAAAATCAAGCTTAATGAATCAATCGAAATCGACACTTATAAAATCCAATCAACATCGCCGGATCAATGGTTGATTTACCGGCGCCTTTGACAGATCCTCCACGGTTACGACGTTTTATAACTGAGGGAAGAATTTGATTTTTTCGGGTTTTCCATTGGATATTTTCTACGAAATCCACTTCCGCAAACACGATCTGAACAACGATTTACGTTGAATAATACGTACTATTATATTGCTCCTCGTAATTATGCAATTATCCTGTCGCGATTTCAAATCCCCGGATCCTTGAAACTTGTACCAATTACCATTGAATATTTTCTTGTCGGCTCGCAAACGATTACGCTTTTTCATGCATTCTATGGAAAATTCATTCACGCGATACCCTGACACTTTGTCTCGCAGATTTTTGTCTCTCGTTCGTGACAGCGAATAATACAAACAAGGAAATACTTTGTTCGTAACGAACTGGGACTCGAATGCAGTGAAGTAATAATTCTGAAATGATTATCTTTGATCGTGGTTAAAAGTGAGAATATATGATATTTTGTTTAAAATCGTTTATCTGAGAAATTTGCGAAACGAGTTAAATCTCCTTAAAATTTTAATAAATTTCAATATATTAAATTTAATTTGCTTGTTGAAAATAAATTCATTAATTTCCCCATATCGCCATGTTTAAAATTAGAAAGGTAGTGGCTTATTCGAATAAAGAACGTTGAATACATATATTTTCAAAACTTTGCAAATTTCACCAAATGGGCCTTTCTCCGCGCATCATCGTACTCTTCAACACAAGATTACATCCAGTTTCCAATAGAGACTCTCGTGACGATGGTAAATACTAAGCGAGAAGTGGCGATTTTTCGCGGTTTTAATCCGGCTGGCCGACGAGGCAACAGGGATCAAGGGTGAAGAGCTTCCATTCGTTTGATCCGTGAATGAAATCTGTTTCTGAGATCAGCGCGGGGCCTTTAATGGGACGAGTGCGTTAGGTTGGATTACCAGGCCTAACGCGGCAAGCACTGATTCCATCAATTCCGTCCAGCCTGTCTGTCATTATATCATTACACCTCTGCGGTCGCTACCACATGATATCTGTCTGCTCTTTCCACACACGCACACTTTCACACCCTTATGCACGTACACGTTCGTGTTGAACAGTCTGTTGACTGGTGTGCGTTAGCTTCTGCCACAGTCGCGTCCATCCTTTTTCTTCTGCGCGCGTTTTATGCAGACGTGTACACTGTCAACCATAAGTTCTGGATTATCTGCACTTGCAACGACTTTTCGGCATCCAGTGTATGGAATGTTTGAAAGTGCTGGTTTAGATATTACTTGGTTAAGTATTGGAATGAAAATGTTAATTTGAGGTTTCGTTAATCTTCTTGTACTTATTTTTTGTAATTTCTTTTTGAGAAAGAGAGTTCAGCTTTTTTTTTTTAGACTGTTTAAGTCGTTTACTGATAGATCGGTATGTAGTACAGCTGTCACAATGAGAGTTAGAAATTATGGCCTTGTTACTGGAAGCTAATGAGAGATACTAAATTCGCAGAAACATTCTGTAATTCTGAAGTGGTTGTAGGTGTTGGAATTTACACGTAACGGGTTATCATTTTATTAAATTTTATTCGATTGCAGATTTAAGAAGTCGAATTTGTCGTATAATTGTTACATATTTTTTGGAATTTATGTATTTCTCTTGTCGTTTTCTTTTAATCGTAATACGTGTAAGTCTATGAATCAGGAAATTTGGGGAGCTAAGTTGGTCCACAGGTTCGAAGTCTGTTTTATCGAGAGTCGATAAAAGTGAAGAGGAAAAAAAGGAGATTAATAAGTGCTGCGTATTGATGAATGATGAAAATGGAGATTCTGATTGCGGGGAATGTTACACATGCGCACGTGTGTCGACGATGTAGGCGTCAACGATGGCTTCCTATCGAACGTTGGTGACGTTAAAAAAAGAAACTCCTAAAATCGTGTGTTCCTTAATAATCGACTAGTAATATTCGTAGCGCGATAAATTGAAGAAAACGTGAAAAGTATTTCAGGCATTTCGGAATAATTAATATTGCATCGATAAATAAAACACGTTTATTCACGCAACTGTGTGAGAATGTAAAAAATTATTTTCGTTCCTGCATCCTTGAATTTTTTCCTTTATCCGTAATAAATAAGACGAAACAAGTTTAATTCGTAATTGTTTAAGGATTTTTAATTGTTTATCGGTTTCATCAGCAGTAGCTTGCAAATTTTTGCAAAGATGCATGGAAAATATCGTGTATTCTGGTATCCTTGAAATTGGTTTAATTAACCAATTAAGTTCCAGTTTTAAAGTAATGGAATTTCACGCGATCGTAGCTTGAAATTCAATGAAAATTCATCGGAAACCTCTGTTCAGTCGTTTTACGTAATAACGTAGAATTTTGCAATACCCTTTGAATGAAACTTTCTTTTCTTTTTTTTTTTGACATTCTGTTTTTTTTTTTTTTTTTT